GATCACCTGGATTATAGAAGATCTCAAGTCTCTCCAGATCTTGCAGGGGCTATTTATATGAGTCAGAGAATTTGACGCTGAAAAGAGAGATACCCACAGAGAGATACCCACATCGAACAGCATTTAGGATAAATCAAAATTTGAGTGGTTAGGTATCAAGGTGGCAGATGAGAAAAGGCAGTGTTTCTATTGATCCCTACAGACAACTACAGAGACAGTCACTCAGACAGTTGTCACTTTAGTGAATATATCTGTCCGATTATGAAATTGCCACATGAAACTTGCATTCAACTCATTAGAAGCTACTTGAGAACACTTTGACAGCGCAGGTTTGGGTGAAAACACAGTAATCGCAAAACAAGCAGCTAGCTCCAGTGGCGCAATCGGTTAGCGCGCGGTACTTATAAGGCAGTATCTGTTGAGCAATGCCGAGGTTGTGAGTTCAAGCCTCACCTGGAGCAGTTTTTGCATTTGATTTTCATTGGTTTATCTGCAAGGTCAGGCACGGTGTCTCCAACCAGCTCTCAACGCCCCACCAGTCATACAGGATGTAAAGGGATTCTATTGTGTTCCTCTATTTGCACTTAAATTCATCTTACTATTTTTGGTTAGGGATTGCATTTTCTTATGAGAAGTGTTATCTTTGGCAATTTTTGTCCAAGGGGCGGAGCTTAAGCAAAGTTCCACTTCGGTTGCTAAGCGGATTTACTGAAAATCCATCAGTGAAAAGAATCCAATAAAAGGACAAACTGCATACACCATGGACAGAGGAGAACAAAATAGCTGTGCCCAAATATTGAGAGTCGGCGCAAGGGAGAAAACATGATAAATATAGATTGAGGCAAGTGGTAAGGTGGATAGTAGAAGATACAAGGGGTATAAGGAAAAGAAAATTGAAAAGAAAAAAGTTGCATGTCGTACTTGTTTTGCCTTTGCAGCCCTCTTGCTCAATGGTTGGAACATTCCATTTTTATGACCTGAGTTTTCTTAAACTGTGCTGCCACCACGATGCGCATCTTTTTTCCATTTACAAACAAACGAAAACTAAAGAGTTTCACTATAGTAAAGAACCTTGCCTATTGGCTGCGTGACACTGTAGGTGCAAGAGAAATGATATTGTTACAGACACTGAGCTTATTGTGTGTGGATACTATGACAAGCTTCTGTTTTTTTTTTTTTACTGTAAAAAGAATGCTACATGTCAAGCCCCAGTGGCCTAATGGATAAGGCACTGGCCTCCTAAGCCAGGGATTGTGGGTTCAAGTCCCATCTGGGGTGCACCAAGTTGGGGTTTACTTTGAGCAAGTCACTCAAATTTAGATGCCACCAAATGTACAGTTTTATTCACTGATGAGGTTTAATCATGAAGACAAGCAGTTGTGTAAACCCAACAGGGTTATTCACTAAAGTGAAAATGATCAGGAATTCCAAGTGTATTTCAATTTAAAGGCCCAAGTGGACTATTTTCTCCAAGTTACGTACACCTTCAGTTCTGTTGAGTCGGCCTTTCATTTTAAAATTCACTTTAAATTCTGGACAATTCTCACTTTAGTGAATATATCTGTACGATTATGAAATTGCCACATGAAACTTGCATTCAACTCATTAGAAGCTAATTGAGAACACTGTGACAGCACAGGTTTGGGTGAAAACACAGTAGTCGCAGAAAAAGCAGCTAGCTCCAGTGGCGCAATCGGTTAGCGCGCGGTACTTATAAGGCAGTATCTGTTGAGCAATGCCGAGGTTGTGAGTTCAAGCCTCACCTGGAGCAGTTTTTGCATTTGATTTTCATTGGTTTATCTGCAAGGTCAGGCACGGTGTCTCCAACCAGCTCTCAACGCCCCACCAGTCCTACAGGATGTAAAGGGATTCTATTGTGTTCCTCTGTTTGCCCTTGTTTTTATTTGCACTTAAATTCATCTTACTATTTTTGGTTAGGGATTGCATTTTCTTATGAGAAGTGTTATCTTTGGCAATTTTTGTCCAAGGGGCGGAGCTTAAGCAAAGTTCCACTTCGGTTGCTAAGCGGATTTACTGAAAATCCATCAGTGAAAAGAATCCAATAAAAGGACAAACTGCATACACCACGGACAGAGGAGAACAAAATAGCTGTGCCCAAATATTGAGAGTCGGCGCAAGGGAGAAAACATGATAAATATAGATTGAGGCAAGTGGTAAGGTGGATAGTAGAAGATACAAGGGGTATAAGGAAAAGAAAATTGAAAAGAAAAAAGTTGCATGTCGTACTTGTTTTGCCTTTGCAGCCCTCTTGCTCAATGGTTGGAACATTCCATTTTATGACCTGAGTTTTCTTAAACTGTGCTGCCACCACGATGCGCATCTTTTTTCCATTTACAAACAAACGAAAACTAAAGAGTTTCACTATAGTAAAGAACCTTGCCTATTGGCTGCGTGACACTGTAGGTGCAAGAGAAATGATATTGTTACAGACACTGAGCTTATTGTGTGTGGATACTATGACAAGCTTCTGTTTTTTTTTTTTACTGTAAAAAGAAATGCTACATGTCAAGCCCCAGTGGCCTAATGGATAAGGCACTGGCCTCCTAAGCCAGGGATTGTGGGTTCAAGTCCCATCTGGGGTGCACCAAGTTGGGGTTTACTTTGAGCAAGTCACTCAAATTTAGACGCCACCAAATGTACAGTTTTATTCACTGATGAGGTTTAATCATGAAGACAAGCAGTTGTGTAAACCCAACAGGGTTATTCACTAAAGTGAAAATGATCAGGAATTCCAAGTGTATTTCAATTTAAAGGCCCAAGTGGACTATTTTCTCCAAGTTACGTACACCTTCAGTTCTGTTGAGTCAGCCTTTTATTTTAAAATTCACTTTAAATTCTGGACAATTCTCACTTTAGTGAATATATCTGTACGATTATGAAATTGCCACATGAAACTTGCATTCAACTCATTAGAAGCTAATTGAGAACACTTTGACAGCGCAGGTTTGGGTGAAAACACAGTAGTCGCAGAACAATCAGCCAGCTCCAGTGGCGCAATCGGTTAGCGCGCGGTACTTATAAGGCAGTATCTGTTGAGCAATGACGAGGTTGTGAGTTCAAGCCTCACCTGGAGCAGTTTTTGCATTTGATTTTCATTGGTTTATCTGCAAGGTCAGGCACGGTGTCTCCAACCAGCTCTCAACGCCCCACCAGTACTACAGGATGTAAAGGGATTCTATTGTGTTCCTCTGTTTGCCCTTGTTTTTATTTGCACTTAAATTCATCTTACTATTTTTGGTTAGGGATTGCATTTTCTTATGAGAAGTGTTATCTTTGGCAATTTTTGTCCAAGGGGCGGAGCT